GAGAAAGGGGATGCAACTGTGGCTTAGAGGGGAAACGGCTGTCTTTATTCATTCACTTGTTTAAACAACTTTTCTACGCCGTGTGGTAACATTTCCGGTAGCATTTCTTCAGTTTTTGACAGCTCTTTAAGACCAGATAGCAATGCATTCAATTTATAAGTAGTTAGGCAGTTCCTTAAAGAAGAGGAGAGGAGGAAAAAACAACAGGAGAATGAAATGGATATATAAACAAAAGCTGGGAACAAGTATTACTTTGATTATTCTGAAAACAGGGATTTATTAGTAGCTAAAAGGAAATAAATCAGCCATGCATGGCTTTCATCTATGTCTTCAATGAATATTCTAAAATGCAGGAAGGATAGATGAGCACTTCAAGAAGAAAGGAAGACCTTGAATCTCTGGAATACAACATTATTGCATGTTTTATCCAAACAACATTCAAGAACCCACACTTTGATATGCAAACTGAGCAGTTAGGTATCAAGTTCAAGATAGTTTTGACAGTTCAGATTTTAAAGTTTTGGGTTTTCTAACTTTCCCAGAATGTAGTCGCTGAAGACATATGAAATGAATTATCAGTCATCCTTCAGCAATGCTACAAAATTACTCTAACAATTCCCAGTGAACAAAATGGCTACTAAGATACAAGATTTTTATGGTTCTCTTTCTGTGAACCATTAAAAAAAAAGCCAAACTTTCCCCCATAGATGTCCTTTTGCATACCCATTTTATACAGCCAGCATCTTCCCCACTCCTTCAACATCAGGAAGTAGCATTGAAATGTGTTAGGTCTGACAATTAGCCGTTCTTTCCAATAGGTCTGGGGTGTTTTGTTTTGTTTTTTACTGCATTGGGTTAGTTCCAATAGCTCATTAATTCATGGCATTGAAAAATTAATCATGTTATTTCCTGCATGGAATTATGTGTTTTAGAAAGACACAGCTTATTGAAACACTACCAGTATGAAATCGGGCCAGATCCTTAGATATTAAAAGTTACTGCAACTCTCAAAACTCCAGCGCAGGGGGAGGCAGGGAAGAGATGATCTGATTTACAGCACCAGAGTATCTGGTCCTTCGCATTTTGCTTTCTGACAGTAATGAGAATTGGCAGGGGCATGCATTATGATGATACTGGCAACAACTACTTTCATTCAAAAGCGAAACAAGAGCCAAAGCTACCAGAACACCTATAATATACAAACTTAGCAAAGAGGCCGATGGGAACTCTTTCCGAAAGTTCATTCACCAAAGCTGGCCATTATTCAGTGGCACCAATATATTTTAAAGAAATCAATTCCTTATTATCTGAATATCCTGTGTCATCTTGTACACGGAAGGCGAAAGGAATGAAACAATTCCTTCACCTGTCCTTTTGATTAATAACAGATTAGTCTACATTAAAATTCCAGATGACATTTTGTCAAATCAATACTGATGTTAACAGAAACAGGGACTTATCATCTTTCCTATAATATTTGCATTGCACTTACTTTATTCATCTTTTTAACATTTTCAATCAGATTTTCAATCCACATTTCCCATTCAACTTATTTTTCTTTCAACCACTCAGTATTTCCACCATAACACAGCAGGGTTTCAACACCAGTTATTTTCTTCTCCCCCTCTTTTTCCAGAACAAACAACAGGAGCTTCCCATAATGAAAAATGCAATACAGTCATATTTGAGCTGATTATTTCGAGTCATTGGTTAACTTCTATTTGTCAAGAGCAATTTAATGTAATATCTACAGATTCAATAGAGAAGTTTTATAGAATGCTGGGTCAAAATGGGGCCAGCATAGCATATCACAAGCACACACACTCAACTCCTGAAATGTATTACTTGAATGTACTTTCCACTGATTCCAAGGGAACTTTTGCATCTCTGCACAATGGCACCTAAATAGTATTTGAATGTTGGGATAATTTCCCACTCTAGTAAAGCATTAACACATTAACACCCCCTAAAACACACCCACACACACACACACGGGGGGGGGGGGGATCTAGATAATATATAGATAGGATTGTGTCTTTTATTTCAAACCTCAAACAATTACTAAAAGGAACTGCAGTTTCCCATGGGGGAGCACAATAATTCTTTTAATTCTGTTCCCCATATATCAAACAAGAGAGAAAGTTTCATCAAGCATTCTTGCACCACAGGATTCAACATCTTTTTAAATGTGACATTCTGGGTTTGGCACAGTGTACACACCACACAACATCAACCAAACAAATCAAAACGGCCTGTTCCTATTCACCACTTTGAATTCTTTTCCACCTCCAATACATATGTAAATCCCATTGTTTTCAGTGGCACTTCTGTGCATGCACTGAAAAGAGAATAGGCTGTTTATGATTACTCATTTTAAGCAACATTCTCTGCAGAAGAATAGGGATACTGATAAATATGCAGCTGAAGCATCTCAACTATTAAGGACAATTCTTTCTTGTCCCCACCCCCTCCATCCTCCATATCCACAAAGTTAACTGTGTTGCAAAGCAATAGCATTTTTTTCTGACCTGCTTACTTCCCAGTGAGAATTCTGGCCTCATATTGCTCTATGCTGATCTTATGTGCGTGGGGGCGGGGGGGGGGATCAATATGTCATGGTCACATTCCTAGCTGCAGATCATCATGAAAATAAATATGTAAACAAACAATAAGACTGCCAATCTGGCAGTGTTGTAACTTTATATCAAGAAGACATAAACAGACAATATCAAGCAATGATTCAAAAGTCGCATCACATGAAAGTACAGTTAGCACTGAATGAAATCATCCCCAACAGATATTTTCCTCTTTTGCCATGCAGAAAGTGATTATGAATTTATGATTGCGAACTTGAATTTATGAAGGGGATGATTCAAAAGCATTCCCTTCTAGCAATTCACAGTCTCTCAATCTTTCTAATGTTTACAGAAAATTCTAGAATAACTAAAAGTTTGTTTAACCGAGTTATAGAAAACAACAGTTGGAACAGCACACAATACCCAAAGATTTCTGTTTAGTATTTTATTTTGAATGACACTTCAGTTTTGGGGTTTACTTTTCACATTTTACTTAAGTTCATAACAGCACAGGTATACCCCTCTATAGCTAACTCAAAAGAAACTCTGCTGTTTTTAATAAGGGTTACTCCCAAATAAATATATATAGGATTGCAGCACAAATTCTTAATTACCAAAGTTTATATACGTGTGTACACACACACACACGACTAGTAACTGATATGCATTATATTTCCAAATCCATTTTTCACACGTGAAAGTATTCAATAGGTAAAGAATACTTTTTTAACAGGATCATATGAAAATACTCAAATGATTAAGAGTTCAACAATATTGGATGCAATTATACTTTCCTCAGATAAAGATTTCTAGCAACCAGATACTGTCAAGTTACCCCAAATAAAACACACACACACAACCGTACATGTTTCATTTCAAAAAAATCTTTTATCACTTTGAGTTAGAATGCAGTTCTCACCCCAACTTTTAGAGTTTGGCAATCTTCTTAAGATGAATAAGAAGTTGAGCATATGTTCAGGTCTTTACTAAAGTTACCTTAACATGATGACTCACTGTCAAATTTTAAAGGGGATTTCACTGCAGCCGGTCCAGTGACTACTCTTCCAATTTAAAGCTTACCATCTCTTCTATAGCTCAGTTTCTCCCTCCTAATGTTCAATAAAAGCACATCTATAACCAAGAGAGTAGAAGGACAGAAAAGTGTATACTATATCCTAACAACTTGGCAAGCTAGTGAGAGAGGTATCAAAAAGCCAGTCAGTTTATACCATTACAGCATTTCCTCCTTTCTATGTTAGGAAATCACATTAAGCTCTCGCTTCAGCCTCTCCTAAAGAAACAGAATGTCCATTCAACAAACAGAATGCACATTCATAAACATTTAAAACATTAAAAACTTGAATGCTCAAAGTCCATAAACAAGTCAAAATAAATACACAACATCAGTTATATCTGAAAGAGGTTTGATTCATTGATTTATGTTGCCACTATAAAGTAAAACAATTATATTCAAAAGGACACAGAAGATCTACATTGAATAATAAACATGCTGGGAATAAACCATCTTGAAAATAGCTACACTGGTCACAGAAAAGAGCGACTGATGTGTTAAGTTAGAAATATACCTCAGCTAGGAGCAACTTCCCTTGCCTTGACAAAGTTCGCAGTCAAATTGCACATCTCTTCAATATTAAACTACTTCCTTAAAAGCAGTAAGCAATGCTACAGTAACAGCATCCAATTTCAAATAATCACAAGAAAAAGAAACAAGGGGGTGGGGAGTGGGGGGATCCAGTCTCTCTTTTTAAAAGCCTTGCAAAATATTTTTTTTAAAAAAAAGAAACCTCATTGCTCCTTCATTAGATACACACCTAAGGTTCTATGTTGCGAGCAAGGTGGGAAGAAGACACTTGCACTTAAATCTTGAAGCATCCCGTCCTGATGAACCCAGAGTAACTATATTCTGCCATCAGAAAAGTACTTCCACCAGAACACCAAACAATTGTACGCAGTGCTCTAAAGGAAAGAGCAAGCCCAGTTCTGGCTGTATGCAGTCTCTTGAGGTACAATAATATAAACCTGATCAATTGCAATTAAAATCTGAACAGAGGCTTGGAACTTGAAGTCTTGGTGCATTAGTTCTTGCCAAAAGCAGATGTGATTGTGAGCTGGAAGCAATTTCTCCTGGTAATTTGTGATGACATTGGGTAGAGCAGCCCCAGAGTCCCTAAAGACAAACTCATCAGAGGCTCTAATGTATGCATGACACATGAGGTGGCTCTTTTAGAGCTCAATTAATTGGGCTGAACATTAAGACAGCAAGTTCAGGACATTTTTCTCCCTCCCCTCCCCACCTCCCCCTTTTCCTCCAGAGTCTCCCCACCACCACCACACACACAGACACACACACCCACACACACCTTTTTCTCTTGTTCTTTTTGCAAAAAGACCTTCTCCCCTTACCTTCTGCAAGCCATGTCTCCTGTAACTGGCTCAGATCTTGAAACAGTTCTAAGAAAAGAGGAAAAGGTGGATAAAAGAACAGCACCTGTCTCATTTTAAAACAATGCTTAAGTAAACTCTGTTCTGGGAAGGGAGAGTCACTTTAAAGCCAATACTTGTCAATTCTATTTTTGTCTAATATTACATAGAGGCAAACTGAAACTACCCCAGTCAGAGTGAATTATGATTATCTAGACAAAAGCACACCACAACTACTTTTCTTTTGCTATCAATCCCAGGAAGAAAGATGAGTACCCTTAACTTTCACACCGGGAGACAGAATGTCTGCTTAAGCAGCAACCCTGTGCACACTTTCCTGGGAGTAAGCCAATCAGTGATTTATTCTGAAAGCATTGGCACTGTTGGTGACTCAGAGACAACTCTGCAGCAGTGTGCCTACTCAGAAGTAAGTCCCAGTAGTTCCCTGGGGTTTACTTCTGAGTAAGTACACTGATTTACAGTCTGCTTTCTTTGAAATTCACACACTCTGTTCCTCTTTCAAGGAACTGAGGACTTGTTCCAAAAGCCCTATACAAACAACACTACTATCTTGCTCATGTCTTACATACAGAACATCACAAAAACAGCAAAATAAAATATATTCACAGTTTTAGGCAATGCTGTCCCATGTCATAAAAGGCTAGAGTTGATGCATGTATTACACTTGGAGAACCCTAGTCAGTGTTGATGTTAGTTTAGTTAATATGCATGCAAGCTTAAACCTGAGCAAATTTATACACAATATATGATTTTTTTTCAAGACATAAGTCTTTCTAGTTTAAATCAGTTGTTTGCAGGACTTAAAACATTGGTGATGCTGTATTTAAACAAGATCAAGATATCCATCTTGACCAAGAGTGCTTTTGTAAAGTATTCAACAATTACCCGCATGCAGAGAAATCACATGCAATTGCCTATAGGCTGGTGGTGGGTGTTAAAAAGTTTCTCAAGTGAAACAAGTTTAATTTTCTTCTCTGTGTATGTGTGCATGTATGTTGTTGCAGGTGTCCTGAGCAAATGAGCACTTTTGAATGCAGTTCTAAGTACTACAAAGTTCAGAGAGGGGTTTAGTCCCTAGCTTGCAATCAGAGAAGAGTTGCGCAGGTGTCTACACACCCACCTTCCCCAAAAGCTAACAATCCAGCCAAGCACTCCTGCCACTGAAAAACAGCCGTGTACCACAAGAGGGTTTGTGTACAATCTCCCCCTCGCAAGCCACAAGAAACAAGCAGAAGGGGCCAGGGTGAAGCACCGCCTTCATGGGACTTGATGGTAAATGTCGTCTTTGGTGGGTTAAGCTGTCAAAGTGCCCCCTGAGCTTGTCTTAGTATTGTCGATGCCTTCGCAATTATAATCTAGAAAACGGAGAGACACAGGACAGCATACAAGGTCTGATGATGGCAACAGGGCACTTTGTTCCATATTGTGTGGTCAGTAGCCTAACTGGCAAGTAGTCAATGGAAAGAAGTCAACGTTGCTCCAAAAATCCTATGGTGTCCGCCATGCAGGAAATTCTGCTGGGCAGGCATTGACAGGCCCTGTAAGCAAAGGACATGGACAAAGGACTTTTGGGGTCCATCAAGTCATCCCTTGCCAAATTATCACCTTAGGTGTATGGCATTAGTTACGTCCTTTCAGTGTGACTGTACCTAACATACAAGAAGGTGAATCATGGAAGGTACAGCTGCATAGCACTGAATTGCTTTTGTCAGCTTGTGTCACATCACTTAATGTGATTTTCTTGTCTCATTTCTATAAAAAGATGTAGACAAGAATCTGGAAAAAAAGAGGGGCAGGGGGAGGAATACATATACACCAAAATCTAAGAAGCACAGCACGGGGCATCTTGGGATTATGAGTGGGAATCGATACAATTTATTCTCTCTCTCAAAACACCCTTTCAAAACATATCCTCACCTTCTGAGTCATGAGCCAGATCTCTGTTAATGAATTTTCTTTTCCTGACATTTGTTGGTCGCTCATTACAGTTTCTCCTACAGGGATTCTACAAATAGAAAATATTGGTTACTTTAAAAGATTGGGGTGGGGGGAGGCAGTCCAACAACCCAAGCTAGCAATCTTTTTAAAAAAATATGAGCAGAAAGAAGAATGAAAGCTTTCCTATTGGCCTAACTGCTAATTTCAGCAAGGATTTTTAGCAGCAGCAGCAGCATAATTATTCTTCAAGGGAATATTTATGTCTAAGGCCACCTACCCCGAGACATATCTGTACAGACACACCTATACTTTCCAAAGCAATGTAGTATTAAACATAGGATATATTTTTAGCAATCTGCAGTGTTAACACCGACACAAGAGTATTTTTTTAAAAAGGCAAGTCCTTCATTTAAGCTTCACGGGAGAACAAGGAGATGACAACAGTACGACTTTATTTTCAAGTCTTTTAAAAAGGTTATTTCAAAGGGGGAAGGCTATTTCTTTTTAAAAAGGTAGGTTCCTCTCCACTTTCCGGGATGGCAGGCATGCATCGCGAAACTTGGCCAGTGGCAGAAGCTGCTGCTCTCCTCTTCCACTAATCCTGAAAAAAGTGTGCTTTTGTTTTTATCCAGCCAGAAATTGTCTTTGGAAGAAAGAAATGAAAATTTATTGAAAGAGAAGTCCGTCTCACGCACACGGTAGAGTAGCCGTATCCCCAAAGCACAACAAGTAACACCCACCCCCCCGCAACACACACACAAGCTTTGCAGCCTCAGCCCTCCCCCCGCCATCGCTTTACTTCGCCCTTGCCCCCCACCCAGGAGAGATCAGAGTTTAAATAACAACTTCGGAACTGATCACTCACATTGGTGACCATGTAAGGCACTTGCTGGTCATAAAATCCATCCATTCTCTAGACTTTAGCGGAGGCGGTTTATTGTTATGATTATTATTATTACTTTCTGGACATTGGACTTAAGAAATTTCCTCCAGATGCAGTCTCCAAGCAGCCTAAAAACGGGAACACAAGATGGCTTTTAGTTAAAAAAAAAAAAAAAGCATGAATGAACCGCTTAAATTTGCATAGCTAATGAACCTCCAAGAGTCCCATTCATAAAAACACACACTCACTCACACACACCCCTCCTTCTCCGCTGCCTTCCTCAGGGTTAAAAGCAAGAGCCGGAAAAGACAACTAGAGGAGGGAAAGGACTTTTTCTCGCTTATCTTTTTAATTGCAAGAAATCAGATCGAGAGGCAAAGCTCTTTATTGACGTGCCCGCTCCGTCCCCGGAGCGATCTGGGCAACTAGCCCCACTCCTCCGTACTCGTAATGGCGCAGCACACGACTCGCGTTACACCGAACGGGAGGGGATTCAGAGAGACAGAGAGAGCGCGCTCAGGCTAAGCTACCTTCCTCTTGCAAACCACAACCACGTAATCAGCCGGAGCCATGGACAACAAAGTTGCTGCGAAGACCCACCTGAAGGTACCGCAGAGACGATCGGCTGCACGCGCGCGCGCACGCACACCACCCCCCAAAAGGAGAGGAAAAAAAAGCCCTCCGAATTTAAGAAAAACATTAATTATTTCTCAGCACTTCCTCCTTGGAAGCGAAAAGCGCCACTGACAGGGCTCTATTCGGTGGTTTTTCCTCTATTTCTCCTCCAGGGGCCTCCAAGCCAAACTGATGGATCTTCGCATCCCATTGGCTCTCCGCGTCTTTCACAGGATCAGATTTCTGCCTGTCAATCAGGCTGCCTCTCGCCCCCTAAGGGAAAAAGGGAAAAGCCGGATCCTCCCGGATTCCGTGGGGGATTCGACAGGTCGACGGTGTGGCTCCCGTATTTCACCGTGTGGAAAACAAAAACGGGCTGCACAGAAAGCCCCGCTTGCACTGCAGGTTCAGGATCCGCGAGGACCAAAGTGCGACGGTGCCTCCGCTCACATGCACGCGCTGCTGTCCCGTCGAGTCATTTTGCCGACCGCTGCCATTAAACGCTACTCTTTCGGCAATTTCGAGGGTTTTCCCCCTTGTGCCAGCAAAGCATGAACTAAGCATAACTAATGCACGATGTGCTTTTGTTTGCAGCGTGCTCCAATCGCAGCCCCAGCTCCAGAACGTTGCCAAATTCAGATATTTTAGCCAAACTCTTGCAACCAAATGCACAACTTACTTACACCGTTGGTTTCTACATGCTGATTATTCATTATTTCCTTATGCAATGCGACTGTAAATTCTGTTGCATAAAAAACATAACATGGGGATGAAAGCTTGGATTATTTCATAGTAAGGAAAATTATCTACTGATGCTTTAGCTAATTCAGTGCTCTAAAACCATGGCATGGAAGGTAAGAATATAAGAAATGGTGTGCTGGATCAGACCAAGGTCCATCTGGTCCTGCACTCTGCCAACCCAGTGGCCAACTAGTTGCCCATGTGAAAATCACAAACAAGATATGAGTGCATCAGCACTCTCCCACCCATGCACCCCAGAAACAAGTGTGCAAAGGCATACTGCTTCTGATACCAGAGAAGCATAACATCATCAGGACCAGTACCCATTGATAGCCTTCTCCTCCAGGAATTTGCTGAAAGTTGGAGGGGAGACTTTATAAAGAAGCAATTTGATAATTTTATGAGCTTGACCCAAAATGTGTTTCATTGGCATTTAAAGTGGAGAAGTACCACTTTTCTATTCTAAAGTCACATCCTAGAACAGGAGTAGGTAGCCTTGTACCCTTAAGATGTGTTGGCCCCTGGACAGCATCATAGGACTTTTGGGGTTCCCAGTTCCAAGGCTGGAAGAGCTTGCCACCTGGAGCCTGGGCAACCTCTTCCAGCCTTGGAACTGGACTCAGATCCTCCTTTCTCTGCCTCTTGCACGGAGAATGGAATAAACCATAGCAGAGTGATCCTCAAGAAAGGGCTTAAAGGGCCAGGAGAGAACGAGATCAGCACTGCCGCAATGCTATATTATCTTGGCAGTACCTCAGCCTCCTCACCACCCTCTGAAGAGCGGCAGTCAGACGGCCAAATTGGCTGTCCGGCCGAGTTGCAGAGTGGTGCAGTACAGAGGTGACGTTTGCCTGCCTGCTTATCCCGCCCTGCATAGGATGCCCACAATCCTATGGTTCCCAGGTTTACGGATATCCCTGCTGGGACGCACCCTCATCCAACTGTCTGTTAGTTTAACAGGCAGCACAACCATGTAGGTAGCAATGAGAGAAAATAGGAGAAAATAAAAACAGGGATGCCACAGTAAATGTTCAGTCACAGAAGCTCATCAGGGCAGCTCAGAAAGTCTCTCCCCCAAAGGGAACCCATTGCCATGTCCAAGTTTCAGTCATTCCTTTCCTGCTATTTTAAAACATTGCTGTGTTTAAGGTCCTTACACTTCTGCCAATTTCTCCTCTTCCTCACTGCCACCCAGCAAGACACTCTCAGTGGGCCCCCACCTTCTTTTCAACACAATTGACTTCTGTTGCTCCTTATCCTCTTCTTCAGCAGCACCTGTTGCTTGCTGGCTGGCCATGACTGTTCCTCTTTTTCACCACACCATTGTCTGAGCAAGGGGCTGATCAACAAATACAGTGCCATGGTGAAGGAGATGAGAACCTTCAGAAGTCTCAGTGAGCCCCTTCTGGGGTGTGGGCTTCAATAAGTCTACAAAAACCCACAACAAGCCCTGATCTCTTTTCGCAATCAGTGGGTGAATAGAAATTAGGTCCAGTCACTGCTTTTTTAGCTACTTGCTCACCTCTGGCTTTGTACCTGCATAAAATAACAGAGTAGGATAAATATTTGCCCAGAGAGCAGCACCATGCATGCCTTCACCTTCTGACTTCATTGCAAGTCCTAGTCAGGCCGCCCCAGATCTTCTCTGAGCATGCTCCTGCTACAGAAATGGCAGGGAACATTTTTAGGCGCACATACAAAACGTTGCAAGCGCCTTCCTTGCTAAGTTCTGGCACCTCTGCATCAGGGAAATCTGTAATGGATTCAAATGAGTTTGGATTTCTATTAATCTGACCTGCATTTTCGGCAGCAGACTAGCTTTTTCCAAGCTATGCCAATTCTGTGGACTTGCAGACCAGATTTCACATCTGAGCTAACTCATACTTGCAGTAATATACATTAGCACATTAGTGTATGTGCATGTTCTTGTTAGCTAGCACCTTCACAATCGTACAAGTGTGCAAATCCTTATTAGCTAATGTGAATTAGCACTAATGTGCACTTACATATTTGTGCTAATGGAATAAAATTCTGATTTAAGAGTTGATTACATCAATGAGCTGATAAAGGAACAACAATTCCTGATAATCTGTGAAACACAGACAGAATAGATTTAATGAAATGTATACATCTATGGCAGCTACAAGGTTGATCCCCAGTGTGTAAGCTGAGGCTAATTTATGTTATCTGCTTCCTCAAATTGTTTTAGAGGTCTGAGAATCATGACATATAATGGTGACAATGGAAGACCAATAGAAAATGAGTGCCGCAGTTTGTGTCAAGGGGAAAAAGATGGAATGTAGCTGTTGCTTATGGCTTGATCACAGAGTTTTTGGTAAATGACTTAAGTTTTTCTCTCTGATATTTTCTGGAATTGGGAGGTACATAAAAGCCACTCATCTCAAATTGTCAAACACAGAACTGTAAGTTTTACAAAATTTCCACTACTTTTATAAGTACTATGTGTGTATCATAAAGGTAATATCTGCAAGTGTAGGTTACTCTGAATGGAAAATTTCAGTTTGGCAGAATTTCAGAAGTGGAATGGAAGAAGTAAGAAAGGAAGCATTTGACATTTGTTTGCTTGTATTTCAAAATCACATCTTTTTTGAGAAGGAGAATAAAAGGAAAGAAATAAACATTCCTAATAAGAGCAGCTGAGTCACGATGAAGTTACAGCCCAAACTGGATAATTTCCTTATCCATTTAAGTGGAGTAACCAATCTGTATGTGCCTTCCTTGGCATGTATGGCTTATGTTGCTATGTATCTCCCACGCAGTGGCACTCTTGAAGAATTATGGGGAAATGCCAGCTTTCATAGCTGTCCCTAGCAAGTTTTGCAGGCTACAGCCGTGCCAGGGAGTTGATGACAGCTTCCAGTTGATGACACAGAAGCAACTCTCTGTGTGTATAGGCAGACATAGGATTAGGCAGCAACTGTTGGTGGAGGGAAGAGCCATTCCTCCACAGCTATTCTTCATGGCTGTCTTCTTTTGGACCCAATTCTCAGCTGACATAAAGCAGGAGGCAATGCCCACAACTGTATCCTGTAGTTTCCTCTGCTTTTGAATTCTGAATTTTATCACTGCATTTTTTTACTTCATTGCTTGCGTTGTCTGAAATATAAAACCCAAGTCTCCCAAGTAAGCTTCAGGCAAACTGCTTTATTTAAGAAAGACTTTAGCCTGGGAGTGGGTCTCTTAGATTGGGTGCTGTCTTTAATGCTAATTCCCCCCCGCAGTAATTATTCTGTGTTTATCATATTACTATACTGTATTATTTTAAATGTTTCTGTAAACCATCTCACATGCTATTGTTTGTCAAAAATCAGAGTATAAAACAAACAAGCATTGTTTAGAGCAGAACAGCTTCCTACTCAAAGAGTTGTTGACTGAAGATAAGGAAAACATGGCTGTGAACTAGGGTGCTCTAGTCCCGTAGTTTACCATTTTTTCTTTGTGTACTTTAGTTTATATATCTCCCAAGAAATAAAAGATAATGCTTTATAGCTGGACAGGTAATGTGCCTTTATTGATACCCTACTCTTCCCATTGTTTAACCAAATTAACATTATTAATATTTTAAGCTGTCCTGAGAGCTTGTATAATAGGACGGCATACAAAAGCTTTTAATAAATAAATAAATAACAAATAAATTTATGTTGACTCTGGAACGTATGAGTTTAAGAGAGTTGTTTAGTATATTGGGGCTCTAATCTCCATCTGTCTTGTACTTAGCCTTTTGAGCCAGTTACACAACCACAACCTCTAAGCACAACCCCTATGGCAGTCATTTTGTTCTGGTGCCACTACAAATGTTCCAAAATGCTTTATGCATTTGAGAAAGTGTGCGCCAATCCAAGAAAGCCCATTCTGCAATAAAATTAGTTTTTAAGGTGGCTTACTGTCAAAGTAATTCACAATCGAACTCAGATTTAGCATCAATTCATAGGGATAGTGTGGAATACTCATGCTACAATATTTACTGATACATTTCAGTCTCTGGTGCTTCCTTTCTTTCATTGCAGACATTTGCTACAAAATTTGCATTGTTTTTCATGCACACCTCCATCTCCTTTCTCCCAAGAAATCAGCTTAAAGTTTTAAATAAACCTGTTTTAAATGAGCCTGACAGATGTGGTCATGAAGCTGTCACAAATAGGACAAACCTACTTAGAAATCAAGGTATGTTCTAGCTTATTTGGAATGTAGGATTTCAGCTGTGCTCAGCAAAGTTTTGCAAATATGGACATTCCCACATTTGATTTACTCAGTGGCTGGTGATTCTCCCAAACTGCTGGATCTACATTTTGTTTCTTTAATGAAGGCCTCACCATTTCTTGCTTCAAGGTGATGGGGACCACCTCCAAGATTCATATTCCTGATCTAGCCTTGGCACATTTCAAT